GATACCGATACCACCGTTTTAGGGCAGTATCGGGGCCCCGTCCGATACTGGTATCGGTGCAACACTAGTTTAGATCTTACATGTCGAATGAAGAGGTCGGCCAGCAGGTCGTGGTTCTGGACGCAGCGCTCCAACTCCACCAAGAAGAAGCTGAAACAGAAAGCAGACGTCAGCGGGCGGTCTCTAAGCGACGTGTCAGAAAACGCGGCTACATGGTGTTTGTCCTGAGGGACTGACTCTCTGTGCCAGTCGTAGATCTGCTGGATGTTCCCGAAGACGATCTTGTCTTTGCCCGTCATGTCTTCTGGGATCCCTCTGACCTCCAGCCTGGACATGAAGCCCTGATAGGTCCAAAAAAATCAGCACAGGTTTAACTTTTTGGCTCTTTTGTCTTTTTTAAATGATGGTTTCCCTAAGGTCCTCACCTCAACGATCACACCCAAGTCCTTCACATAGTCCTTCTCTGATTGGACCATCTCATTAACGACAAACCTGTTCCAAAAGCATCGGTTAGAGGTTATCTACAACCATGGTGACGGTCAGAGTTGTGCTTTTCTTACATTCGTCCCCTCAGCGCTTTATTTCTCTGCTCCGAGTCCGACTCGTTGGATCCCTGATCCGAATCCAAACCCTGAGGAGAAGCTAACATCAGTACGGCTGCCATAGCAACGCCGGGATGGGTGAATAACAAAAGTGTTTCTCACCTCAGGGTTGTTGGGGTCTTTGATGATTTGCATAGGAGGCGGCAGAGGGGTGTGGCTTTCTTCCTCAGGCTCCTCCTCCCCGCCACTTTGCACAGCTTCGTCCTTCTTCGCCTTCTTAACCAACAAAACACAAACGTTGTTGCTTTGAGTCGGAGAATTCTGCAAACGTGGATAGAATACGTTTAAGGATGTGGTTACAGACCGTCTGTGCGTTTCCGGTGAGGGGCGTGGTCACATCAGGCCTGTTGTCCCGCCTCCTGGTTCTGATCGGGGGCTTTTTCTGTCCGTCAGCTTTTCCTTGACTCAGTCTTCGGACCGGACTCGTCAACCAGCGCTGCAACAGACAGTTAACCGTCAGTCTGAGTACCCCCCTCTGCTGAGGTGGAGCTACTAACAGCTGCCAGATGTTACCTTCAGAGTGTTTCCGGTTCCAGAACCGGTGCGTTTGGGGCCTGGAGATCCCGCAGCTCCGCCTGCAGGTCCACCGACGCCACCTACTGTAGGAGAAGTTACACCTGATAGAAATCAGAACCAGTCAGAGATGAAAGTTTGGTTTTTGTTGCTGTGATCATTCAGAGGAACGTTTTCTCACTTTGGTTGCTGGTTTGGATCTGAAGTCCTGAACCGTCAGAACCGTACAGACTAGACTCTGAACAAAGAGAAACAAAAATATATAAATTTATCATGAAACGGTGGAAACAAACATCAATTAAATAACTCATAATGGAAGTAACTAAAGTAACAAATGCATCATTGTATGAATATGATAAAAGCTTCACTTTAAAGTCAAAGAGTAAGGAGCAAATTTTCAAAATAAAAGACTTTTTAAAAATATTATCTAAAAGAGACGTTATAATAAGATCCCCTTAACAAAAACTAAATAAAATTTTATCAGATGAAGTCAAAGCAACACAAATAAACCGGAGCAATGGTTCAGTTTGGAACCCAAATCTTCTCCAAACACATGAGAAAGTTCAGGAGCTTAGAAGTTATTTAGCAGTAAAAATAAAATTTCAGGAGGTTCAAAAAATATTTGTGGTAAAGATTCTCAGTCGTCCAGGTCAGCGTCGTTCCAAGGAAAGTTAAAATCAATCCTCTGGACTTTGTTTCCAAGTTTAAAGACGTTTCTCTTCACATCCAGGAAG